TTCCGACACCATAATGTATTGCCTGGCAAAAAATAAAAGCAATTTTTGGGGGGTGTCACTGTCCCTTTCAGAACTTAAAAGCCATAATACTGTACTCAAGAAACATCACAAAAAAATTGAAGTCATGCCTTATGTACATAAAATATTGCACAGCTTGAAAAGAGTAGCAGCCAAATTCTGTGTGGTTGTCATCGTTACGACCCTTTGCAAGTTCTCCAATATCTGCAATGCTCGGGACCAAAGGTTAAGTTGCTGGTTTGTGGTAAGAGGCATGGTAATCAGTGCGGCCTCACTTATCAGTGGTTATGGATCACACCTGCCAATGCACTGCAAAGCTTATGGATGTTCATCTGCATTGAACGGTGTGCAAGTGGCAAGGCGTAGGAAAGGAAGTGGAAAGGGAGATGCTAGAAGCGGCTCCGATACATGACTGACCAAGACTCGTGTATTCGCATCGCATGTGTTCTTTTGATAGAAAATAGTATTTTATTTTATTTTAAAATAGTATGATTTTATTGGTAGGAATTAGGCTGTCTTCTTTTTTTTGGTTGCATAGAGTGCAAGGTTTCCTTATTGCGATTTGTTTTTAATGCACTTTTTGTGCCCTTCCTGTTGTCACGACGCTGTTTACTGTGTAGTGCACATACATGAATCACGACAACCTTGTTTCTATTGCCGTCTTCAATAATGAGATAACCATTATTTTTTCGTTATGCTTCATATTTTTTGTTGGGCGTATTTGCGCGCCTTGTGTTGCACTGCCAGTGCTCGTGATGTAAATTTGCTTTCGTGCTTGCCTGCTCGCAAGTGCAATGTGCCTGAAATAAATGGATGGATTTCTAAAGTTGTGTGCAGGGAGTTTTGTTGTCGGGTCTGCTGCATATATAGTCGACCATGCTGATCATCTGAGAATGTCTTGCCTCGTATATTTTCCCTACTGGTTTCAGAAAAATTAGGCATTCCAAGATTTGACTGCACATGGCCCAGTGGAGGTCATGCAGCCAGAAGTGTCAGTATTCTGTAGTGGAAATTTGGGTTGATGGAACCTCGCAAGTGGTTAACATCACCAAGTTTGGAAAAAAGGACAAACTGAGATGAGAGTGCTTATTTTTGTAGCTGCTGGAAACAGAAACGTCAATGGCAATGTGCCCAACATGTAGTGCATCTTTTTGCGGCTGCATTTTGAAACCCTGTTGCTGAAGCAAAGTTCACGCTGGCTGACCTCGGTTTCCCTTTATGTCTAGACTACCTATTCACCAATGCCAGGTGCCAGTTTGGCCAGCTTTTTGTAGTCGCAAAGAAAGATGGAGGTCAGGCAGGCAAAGCCAGCCCTCGCACCGGGGGGCTATGTTGCACGTTTTGGACTCCCAGGAGACTAGGGAGAAGGAAGTGACGTCAACGATGCTCGCTGGATGTTGATTGGTGTAGTCGCTGATGACAGTATCTGCAGAAGTTGCCAAGACACGTTCATTCACACCTACGTCACTTCCTTCTCCCTAGTCTTCTGGGAGTCCAAAACGTGCAACATAGCCCCCCTGTGTCGAGCACAGGCTCCAAGTCACTCGGGCAAAACTATCCGAGGCTTGCGGACATGTGTGAATACAATCCTTTGAAGATATTCTGAGGTAAGCATAGCTAGGACAAATCTGACACCTGCTGTCTGCAGCATGCGTACGCATAACAGTGGGCATGTGGGCATATCACATTGCAGAGGCTAATTGGTAAGCACAGCGAGGACGACCCTTGACATCAACCAATTCGTTCACACACGTGCCCAGTCGTCGCTGCAGGTGAGGACGATGACAGTAGATGGCCAGTCGGCTTGTGGAATATTTTCTCACTGCCCGCTTCCTTCGCTAAATTTGTAACAATCGCTACGTCACTTCGCGTCACTCCACTGTGGGTGTACGAGTGCGTGCACGCTGCCCGCGGACATGCTTCAGCCCCTCGAGTGATCGCGCAAAAAAAAAAAAGCACTGGTCGAAGCAGCTGCGTTCACGCTTTAGTACCGTTTCCAGTGGAGCACAAAAAAGCTGACATCGGGTATAGATCAATTTCGCCGCAGGGTTACAGGCTTGACAATGCACTTCTCCATTTCGACTAGCTGCGGGGAGCGCGATTGATTCTTGCAGAGGCGTGACAGTGTATATGCAAAGCACAATTCAGACGTGCACTCGCGGTCCAGATCACCGCTTGTGCTCCGTTGGCGTCTCATACGTACCTGGCGCGATTCCTGTTGAGGCCAGCAACGGGCGAATGATGTTACACCCGTGAATAATGCTGCCAAGCGGCGAGTTGGGCATCGCTGTAAGGCAGACTACACAACACCGCAGCGGCGCGTCGTTCGAATGAAATAAAACATTAGCTACACTGGACGTTTTAGCGAAAGCCAAACGAGCTGGGTTTATTTCCAGGCCGTAAATGACTTCGGAACGCTGGCAGCGGTCACGGGTCCTTAGGCCTAAACACACCCTTCCGCCCTGGAGTACGCGAACGTTACGGCAGAAAGCATAAAACGGCCGTAGCGTAGCTGCCCAGTCAGCATTGAGACCTGTGCGCGTATGTTATCCAGTTTCACACTAACGATACCTTCCAATATCTAGGACTGCACCAATGCACTTTTTCGACTGGGGCGTGGAGTACTCCAAAACAAAACGGCAGGGCGTCTGCTCGCGTCGGCGGTAGCGGGGGGGAGGGGGGCTGCACGCAGCTTAGAACAGCCCGTAGCGCGCGCGTACCACGTGACTGCGCCAGCCAATCGCGGTATTCTTCCCTCCTCCCTTTCCTCCTCTCCCTCCTTCTTTTCTCTCTCGCGGGGCTTTGCCGTGGGGGGTCTCACAATACGCAGCCCGGCGTGCGAAGATTTAAAAAGAATGTGCAGATATTTAAATAAAAGAAAAGAAATGAAGTACAGTATGATTATTTTTATTTACGGAAATCCAAATTTTTTTTATCTACGGAGCAGATTTTTATCTGGAGTTTTATATGCAGCCAAATATATCAAAAGGCGTGCTTGTAGTGCTAGCCACCACGTGTCCAGATGAACGTTTCAAAACAAATAAGCATCACAACTTGTCTATCTACTTCAACGGCTTTTCACCATCACAAAAAGCATCACAAAAAAGAAAGAATTCTTTCTTTTTTACCACAAAACACAAAAAACTATAAGCTGCAGTAACTCGACGTAGCACGACTTTTTCTCGGAATCTATTCCTTTGCGGCATGCTGAAGCTGTGGTGCCTGGAGGGGAGCATAAAATGGAGTTCCACGTTTTAAGAATTCTTTCTTTTTTAGAGCGCAGGTCTTAGGCTCCCATTTCCGGCTTGAGCGGCGTCGCCGTCGCCGTCGGCGTAACCGTAAGGCCACGTGACACCCCCAGGTCACGTGATACCCCAGGTCACCTGACCCCCCTGCCCTGAGGCCAGCCCCCCCCCCCCCCCCCCCCCGAGGTCACGTGACCCCCCTGGCGTCACACGACCCCCCCCCCCTGAGGTCATGTGACCTCAAGGAGTCACCTATCCCTCAGTACGCTTCTATCCTCCTCCTTAAAGGCCGACTTACGAAACCATTTTCCGCAGGGTAGGAAAGTGCTCCCCAACGACCTTCGCTCCCTATCCTCTCGCACTCCTTCCTCCTCCTCCCCTGAAAAAGGCGGGTCCGGAAGCTAGTCTCCGTGGAAAGGAGAAGGGGTTTCCTGCTTTCTGGGTGGCAAGGAGGAAACCTCTTCTCCCGCGGAAAATGGTTTTGTAGGTCGGCCTTTAAGAGCTGCGCTCTAATCCGGCGTTACAGAGAATTGTAAATGGCTTTCATTTTTCTTCTTTCTTTTCTTCATTATTCGTATGTTATTCTTTTTAAATACACAATCGTTGCTTGTACCTATAGCCGTCGAGGCTAGTCGCGGGTCCAACATTAGAAATAACCTTTACAATGCGGCAGGCAAACAAAACAAATGTATGCACACATCAAAGTATACACAAAACAATATACATTCTAATTGAAAAATAGACAGGACATATCATGTTGAACTTATTCATTGGCTTGCACATTAATTAAAGGATGGCAAAATATTGGGTTTACATTTGATGTCGGTAGGGATATCATTAGGGCGCCGTTGAATCCAATAAGCCTTTCTCCATAAACATTTCTACAAGGTGGCTAGTTAAACAGATTATTTTCTTGCAGCCCTCGTATTCCTAATGATAATTTAAATAGATGTAATGGAAGTGGGTCGTTAGTTTTTATTATTTTAAAGGCTGTTGCAGCTATTTTTAAGTTGTATAGGAGGTCTAGTGGAAGCACACCAACTGATCGAAATAGAGGACCACTTTGGTTCAGTATATCTAGAATAAGTAATGAGTCTCAGAGCCCTTTTCTGTAATCGACTGAGCGGCTCTAAATACGTGGTATATGTTCCGCCCCAAGACTCTATGCAGTAATTCAAGTGACTATGTACAAATGTAAAGTATAGAATGCGCACAATAGACCAATTAAAAAACTCCCGAGCCTTTAGTAGTGTGAAGCAACCATGTGCAAGTTTTGTGCTTGTTTTTAATTTGATTCTTCCAATGCATATCGGTTATATTTGAATGGAGGCTGAGGTTCATCGATGCATTATTTTTGCAGAAAAAAATACAACAACACTAAATGTGTTTTTTTCAACGCCCTGTACACGACTTAAATACTTGGAAGAGGTCGTGGTACCGATAACAGGAGGAAACGAGACAACGGTATGGTTCATGGAGAAAAAGGCAGCCATGAACACTTCAGGGGGGGGGGGGTTAGGTAGAAGCAAAATAAAGCTGTAGATCAGGATTTCTTCCCATGAAGTTTTCTTTGCAAAAACTTTTAGTGTTTTTTTTTTTTCTTTTTCCAATTTTGAATAAATTGGTTTAGGTGCTGCTTTTTTTTTCTTTATCAGTATATACCGAAAACTCCTATGGAAAATTGCAGGGTAGGCTTCATTTTGGGGGAGGGGGGGGGGGGGGAGGGAGGGGGGGGGGGGGAGGGAGGGGGGGCTGACTAAGCCATTGACTCAATGGCATTGAGCAGATGTTGAAGATCAGATAACAAGAAATAAAGAAAATCATGCAAATCTTTCAGTTCTCATGATGCTTTAAAGCATATTTCTAACAAAAAACACTTGCCTATACATCTTTGGAATAACGTCGTGGCTTCTGGAAAACCTTTCCCAATCATAAAGCATGTCAATTTTAAAAGCTAGAAACTGCAGGGCATTGAGGGAGAAGCACTGGTGAAATCCAGCTCCTCTTCAGGCAAAGACACAGAAAGAAAGAAAAAAATTAGTGGTTTGAGATTTATCTGTTGCACGTATTCATCAGACGCTTTAAAGAATAAGGCAACATGCTATGTATTCACATCGTAATGGAAGACATTACTTATTACTGACCTCGGCAGTAAAGTGCCACATTCCGCAGCATCAAGCAAGAAATCATTTGTCTCACCACATTGCTTATCTACGCTTTGGGGCTTATACCCTCGTTACACAGGTACCTTTAACCACAGTTAAGTCGCCCCTAACTTCGTTATGCTTCACTACGGTTACCACACTATACTTACAGACAGCTTTCGTATGGCTGTCATACTAGCTATGACAGCCAAACGAAATCATTGATTAAAAAAATTAACATTGTGCACATTACCAGTCACTATAGTTACAAACTAGCTCTTGCATATAAAAAGTCATTTTTGTAACAACAGTTTACTTTTTTCGATCTCAAAATCTTCAGTTCAAGGAAATGGTCGACAACACTTGTTCTGAAGATGCTTGGGGAATGCCGCACTCCAGGACCAATTATGGCAAATCAAATGCTGAGATATATACTACCACACCTTTTAAATTGTTGCAGTGAGTTGAATATAAATATTTTGAGTGGAACCTGGAAGGATGTACGTTCTGTTTTTGTTCACGATTTTCTTAAATACATTCCTGAATAGTGGAAGCATAAATCGATTGTACAATTTAGCTCACTTATTTTCTTTATTGGTGTAGAGACTGTGCATTTGTATGTATATCAGTAAATATTTTTTTTTTTCTCTGCTGCCATAGGCGGGGGGGCAGAGGCTCATCAAGCAACACTGTGTTGCTTTTTTCTCTGCCTCCCTTTTCCAAACGGTAAGAAATAGAGACTTTTGACTTTCGACTTGAGCTATTTCAGAAGTGAAAAGTGTGCATGCACAGCTTTCATGGGTGCTCAAGAGTGTGAATGTGTGCCCACAGTTTTGACTGCATAGCCACAGAATGTTGTCCAGGAGTACATAGTGGTAACTGGGGTTTGGAGTAACTGTAATTAAGTGTGCACGAGGAACGATGGTATTATACGCATAAAACTCTTCGCATACTAACCATAAGATTGTCCACTTTAACAAGCAAGTGATAATTCATCATTCTGGTAGGGGTAAGCCCAAGATTTCTGCTGTACATATTCTTGAGAACAACAAACAAAAGAGATGAATAAACACATGCTAAAAATGCAAAAAAAGGTATCTGCAGCCTGCTGATAACCGCTAGGCCACAGAGAAGGCCCAAAACTCATATAGGGTGGAAGGCAGTTGTCTGCGAATGGGCAGTGCACCAGAAAACACAACATTTCCTTAAGCACCTTATGCACACTGTCCCCCAAGCTTAACACTGCTGCAGTCCGACAAAAATACAGAGCAATTACTGGCAACTTGGCAACCGTCCAGTCGTCGGACCAGCAAGACTAGGTTAGGTAACAAGAGGGACTGCGACTCCAAACTTCTCTGGACATCTGGACCTGGGCTTGGCATTGTGGGCTGCCCTAGCTTCTTTGCATCCTCTCCATAACAAGGCAAAGTCACTCCATATGTGACGCTCCAGATACAGTCAGCTGCAAGCAGTTTCCGGCCTTCTTAATCCAAAATTTTCCAAATTCCCAGTTTGAGATATTTTTGGCACGATGCTGCGCTTTTGTGGCAGGGGCGATTCGTGAACATTCTTTCGAGCGATGGCGCTAGGTCTCGTTGGCTTCATTGAGCTACAATGAACAAGATTGAGCCCTTGAAACGTCACTTTTGTGCCTTAGTTTTCGCCCCCAAGCTAGTACAAAGAAGCTTCTCCCCTCCCCTTCCCGCTGACACCTCCTCTTTCTTCGAGTTTCCTACTTGGAAATCCTCGAACCCAATTTTTTGACAGAAGGCACCAGTTTCTCCGTAGGATATTGATTCCCTGGACACGTTTAGAACGAGAGCCTCTTAACTTTGAGGTTCCTGTTGTTACCTGCTCCACCTCCAGTGCATCCCCTCTGTAACAAGACAAATTTGTTGCACAACCACAAACTCCAGAAACAGTTAGCAGCAAACTCATTGAGACGCACTCAATTCCCTAGACGCTTTCAAAACGACAGCTTCTTGACTCCGAGCTTGGTTTCGTCCCCGGCGTGCTTGCGCTTTGTCCCGCGTTCCTCCTTCTTTTGCGTCAGCGACGCCGGAAGCGGCAGGCTGGGGCCCTCGGTCGGCGGGGGCCGGTTGCTGAAGTACGGCATCTGCAGGGCCTCACCGCACGAGCACCTCGACAGCGGGTTGAGCGCGAGCATCTTGCCGATCACGTCGAGCAGGTCATCGCCGGCCGCCGTGAAAATGTGCCGGAACGGTGTGCCCGGGAAAGTCCTAAACTGCACGTAGTCCGGCAGCGACGTCATCCCGGCCCAGTCCTTCTCCGTGGGCGTACCCAGTGTCTGGAAGATCCGACTCAGCTGGTCGAGGTCCGAGTCGCCCGGCAGGAACGGGACGCGCAGCAGCAGCTCCGCGAGGATGCAGCCCACGGCCCAGATGTCGATGCCGGTGCCGTAGATGCGCGACCCGAACAGCAGCTCAGGAGCCCGGTACCAGCGGGTCACCACCTGGTGCGTGTAGACGCGGGTCGGTGACCCGAAGAACTTGGCCAGGCCGAAATCGGCGATCTTGAGGATGCCCCGGTCGTCTAGGAGCAGATTGTTTGGCTTGAGGTCCCGGTGAAGGATCCAGTTGAGGTGTAGGTACTCGAGTCCCTGGAGCGTCTGTAGCGTGTACGACTTGATGTGACCTGCGGTCAGTACGATGCTCGTGTCCCTGATGATGGCCTCGAGGTCTGTGAGCATATAGTCGAACACGAGGGAGACATTGGAGCGGTGGCCGAACACGTCGTACAGGCCGATGATGTTGGCGTGAGAGAGTTCTTGGAGCAGCTTGATCTCCCGCAGCGCCGTGCGGTTGATGCCGTCCTTGGCCTCGGCCCTCGTGCCGAGCTTGATCTTCTTGACGGCGACGATTTCGCCGGTCTCGGTGTCGCGGGCCTTGTAGACGGTGGCGAACTGGCCCTCGCCGAGGAACTCGATCTTTTCGTACCGCCTTTGTTTGTCGTCCGCCATCTCCTGGTCTGGTGCGTGACGATTCTTACGTGGTCCGTTCGGGGAAAGGGGCAAGGAGCATCGTAACCAAATTGGAAATTGGAATAAAACCAAATAAAACTTCAGCCGTCTATCACCGAGTTCGGAAAATACGAAAACTCGCATAGGGAAGAACAAACCGGCAATTCCAAAACATGGTGATGATGTTGGTAACGATTGGCTAAATGGCGACGCGACAGAAAACCCTAAGATTTAACTTAAATAAATTAAGAGAATATAAAAAAACGCATATAAAGTTTTTTTTTATATATAATTACTTCCGAAAATAACGGAAGTGTGGCAGGCTCAGTTAAAATTTAAAGCTACGTAGCTATTACACCTAAGCCTAAACTTCCAAATTGTAAAAAAATGCATGTAAAACGTTTTTTTTTTTTTTTGTAGCGTGTTTTTATTTATTCTGTCTGACTTGAGTCGAAAAAAAAATGTTATAAACTGAATCCAGAAACGCAAACTTAACTTTACACACTAGAAAGTGCAGCTAACATCTAATTTACGAAAAATACGTTTTACACAATTTGTCTACCCATCAACAAGCTAGATGGATGGAGATACGGCATTCACGGCAATTGCGCGGTCGCGGGCTTGTTCTTTGAAACTTGACCAACTTCACTTCTTGACCAGCACGTTTTAAAAGTTGCGATAGCTGTGTTTATCAACGGTGAACGCCGTCGTGTCTGGTGCAAAGCGAGTGACTGCATCGTTGTTTATTGCACCCGCGTTTAATCGCAGTTCCCGTTCGTATTCGCGAAAATGGCTTGCGCCGCGGACCTGGAGACGCTCACTACGCCCGTTCGCGAGGAACCGTACGACTTGGAGTTGGAGAAGGCGATCCTGGCTGACATTCACACGGCCGCGAGCCTTGGCTACGTGTCGCGAATCCGGGATTTGCTGAGAAGGCAAGTCTGCATGCTTCGTTTCCACGCTCGCGAGCACGTATGCAAGCTGAATCTGTTGGCGTAGCGGAAGTTTCATTCCCACGCCATGGTATGTCGTAAAACTACCTCTACCTGTCAAAACAAAAGTTTGTTGACGTCCGTCAGAACTATGGTTTTGCGTGTCGGAGAGGTCGACCTTTCCTTGTCTTGACTGATTTTCCAGCCGCAGATGCTCCTCTTTTGTGTGGAGGCATAGGTAAAGTAGTTGACGTATCTGCCCGAAGTGACGAAGCTTCGAATTGATTCTGCAGTTACTGAAACGATCCGATATTTGTGATGGGCATGGTTACCGCACTAAATATCATTTTGTTTTGTGTCACAACGAATATGTTCATGCATAAAACGCGCCTTTATTCACAAATGAAGTACTGGATTACACGGCTGTGAGAGGTGTTTAAAGCAAGGCATCGTTGTCAACTCGTTACTCAGTGAGCACTCATCTACAATGCCCACACACATCATAAGCAAAAAAAAAAAAAAAAATCGTAATTTAAAAGAAGGTGTTAGTCCGTTACATAAAGTTGTGTGGACTGAACATTTCCAGGCTACTATCAAACTTCTGTGCACAAATTCATAGAGTTATTACAATAAACGCCAGAGTCTCAGCTGGCGCTAGTGTCTATGGGACTTCCGGTTGCAAATTGAAGCAGACAGCATGCAGTCTACATTTCCAGCCTCCCTGTGTATTCCTATGAGAAAACGCGCGTGAATTATGTCTCTTCGCCGGAAAATAACATGAATAACTTTTGTCATTTCGGTTGTACCGGATAGGATGTGTCTTAATTAACATTGCAAAAGTGTAATTGCTTTAGTTAGCGCATTTTTCTCTACCACTGAACGTTGTTAAACTTCGCTCTATTTCAGCTCCAAATTTCTGTTTCAAGGAAGGTATGTGAAAACGAGCAACGATTCTTAGCAAACTAACGATCGAAAGGAATTTAGAGTGTGTTCAAGGTTTGTTAGCATTTCGGTGGTGCTTATATGTTGCTAATATGCCCGTACTGTCAATGGATGAAAATGACTCCGTCGTGCACTTTATGATCGGTTAAAGAAACATTCAAACGCAAAAAATAAAGCATGTGAACTACGAAAGGTGTCTTTTTATTATTATTATGCCGGACAGTTGTTATCGAGAACCTGCTGTCTGGCTCCGCCTATTTGCAAAGATTTAGAGCGTGCGGGTGATGATTTGAACCCAGAACAAGCATCTTCGGACATATTCATGAGCAGAAAGAATAAAGCAGTACATATTTATTGCAAATCTGACTATATTACGTGGCTTTCAATTTATTTTGATCGTCTGTGTGCACAAGGAGTTACTTATCCAGTGTTACTGCGTAGTTCTTGCCGTCTCTCTTGGTTTTCCACATGTCCTTCGATCGTTTGATACGTACATCCCCCATGCTGGAAAGCGTCGACGCCGTGTTCGCGCTAACAGTGTCCGACAGTGCACATAAATACACGTACGAAGCGGTTTTAACACCGTTTTTCATACCACGAATTTCAAATAAAAATACTGTAACTGACCAATTATTTCGTCTGCGTGACTGAGAAATGTTACAATGTGCCTAGCACGTACAAATTATTCGTGATATTTGCTCTTATAATCGAGCGCAGAGAGAAAACGCACTCGCTTTTTCCCATAGAAATGCATTACCGGAAGTCAATTTCTGACTGCTTGCTGTCTGCTTCAAAATGCAACAGCACACTAGCGCCAGCTGAGCCTCTAGCGTTTATTGTAATAACTCTATGCACAAATCATAAAAGCATTAGGTCTTTTGCTCTGCCATTTACTGTGTAGAAGTTTTAAAGGAGTATGAAACCGAAAATTTAAATATTTAAATTTCGTTTGGAAATGAGTCAAGCATGACGGCTAATAACCAAAAATGATAATCGCACGTTTGTATTTTGAACGACTGGCTATATTTTTTGTTCCAAACGGTGCACTCGAGCAACCGCTCGAAGAGAAGTGAATGGACAGCGTGCGATGCGTCATGGGATATCCGGCGCGAACAAAAACAGAAAAAAAAGATCCCCCGCATTCGTGACTTAGCAAGGCTGGCGTGGTTATGAGCTTTGCCATTGGTGGTGTTGTCAGCGTTGTGGTGGTGTCAATAGCGTCAACGCGTTACAACCGAGCCGTTCGAAGTACCCGTGGGGTGACGAGCATGTGGCTGGCCCAAGAACCACATAGCTTCCACAGCACTGTCAGCTTAGGGGTGATTGGGTTGGGAGAAGCAACTCTTGTCAAAATTTTGGGCGACGGGCTAATCTTCTATGGGGAGAATGGCTGTCTTTGGCTACACAAATGAGGGTCCGTCTTCTTGAACTGTTTGGTACAATGTGCAATTTGTGGGTTGAAGAGGACAGCTATGAAGGAAAATGTCTAATTCCAAAGAGCGGCACTGCTCCGATGGAACTTGCTACGTCATGACTATGTAGCAAGATCCGCTGTGTTGCTAGATTACCTCCCAAATAGGCTCCACATGCACCCACCAGGTGCACATTGAAAGATTGTTTAATTAGCTTTAAAATTAGTTTTTGTGTGCCTTTCAACAAAAGACGTATTTTTGAGGTTTTGTTGCAACATGCAGCGCATTGAAGCTAAAAAATGAGCGTTGGAATTTTGTTTCCGCACCGCTTTAAACATTTTCACATTGCATACCATGAGGTTTTAAAATTTAATTTGTTGTTATTTTTGCCCCATAATAATTTTCAGGCATAGTAATAGCTATGTCATATCGTGCTGTTTGCGTCTCCTAGCAGAAGTTCTCGAACCCAAGTGACAGTTTCATGCTTCAGTCAGCACTGAATTTGCCACCAGCACTGAAGTAGCAGCCCTTCTCCTTGTCCACTCTTTCATGTTTTTGCTCTGTGTTTGCACATACAAGTTTACTCTGTAGCATGATACACTTTCATTTAATTTCATTTCATTTATTTACTTTTAAGGCCGAGGCATTACAGGAAGGAGTGGGCGAAACAAACACAAAAAATAATGATAAACGTCAGCATAAACACAACAGCAGACTTACAAAAAATGGTTGCAAATGGCAGATTTGAAGCGGACGTTGTCGGTAATCAGGGCGATGGAGCCATTTTGAGCACATGGTGCCTTCTTCCTGACCGGAGTTGCATCTAAATCTAAATGCGAAATATTTCTAATTGGAAAAGAATCGGGCTTAATCTGAATTTTTCTCTCTTTATACACTCTGCCCGGGGATGCCAAGCTTCACATGACAACATCCAATAGCGTATGGCACGAACACCTCATCTGTGTCCTTTTCCCGTTTTGCTCAAACAAGGAATTGGGGAACACAAATTTTTATGGTCTATGATACTGGCCCAAATGGATCCATTCTCCATTCTAGTGTACTAATTTCGTCGATGCCATTTCACTCATGGAAAAGAGACAAGAAATGCTGTTGATCGCTTGTTTGGGCCAACTTTGTCACATTCTCTGTGCACTTGTTGCCTCTGCGTAATGTCCATTCCTTTGCCTCTTCGGTTCTTTCATTTTGCAGGACATCTCCAGGCGACGAAGTGAACGTTCAGAACAGGGGAGGGTGGACGCCACTCATCTACGCTGCGTCTGCGGGCCAGAAGGGGGCCTTGGAGGTATTGCTGAAGCACGGTGCCGCGGTCAACGTCCAGAACTGCCAGGGGAGAACGGCGGCCATTGTTGCAGCCATGTACGGCCATGACTCCTGCCTGGCGCTCTTGAAGAAGGTGGGCTTGGTTTGCTATTTAGCAGTGGAGGGTATGTTATGCACCATGAAAAATGTGCACCCAGCCTAAGTATTCTTGGTAGTTGCCATTTATTTGGCGCACCTAAGGTCTGATATTTCACGTTTGATTGGAATGCTGAACAAACTAACATAGTTACTGCCAAACTGGCTTAAACTTCAACTTTTTTACTTTTGTATACTCTCGCCTACAGAATTGTCTCTTGATTTAGGAACGACAAAGAGTACTTACATTGACAAGATATTCCTTGTGCAGAAAGAAGCGGTATGATTTATCAACGATTTAGGCCATATTGAGCACACACCACCTTCATTTGAAAAGTATAAGCTGTTAACCATTAAACACATTACACTTATTAAAACTGGCAAACATAATTTTTGATAAAATAAAGCAGGATGAGGCTTACTTCTTTGACACTTACCTTCATAGGTCTGTGGATTACACTCTCAGACACACTTATTTCATAAAACCAAATGTTAGAACAAGCTGTGGAACTCAAAAACTTAATTACCAATTATCTGACCTTCTAAATAACCACCCCAATATTCACTTCGTGTGACGTGACCGGCGCACTGCCGCGCGGCCATTAGCTAAGGTAGGTAGTGAGGTACCCCAGTGAAACAAAACCACTCCGCTACATTAATATGCATCGAAGTTGAAGCGGTGCGGTTGTGCTGGGTTGACAGCGTGCGCTGCTGCGTTGTTAAGTGCTCCAATAGTTATGCATCTTGTCTTTTGGGGACAAAGTTTTTTAGTTTTTCAATTCACCATTGTTTTGTGGGGCAGTGGCAACGATGGATCCGCGCCATATGATGCAAGAAATTTGGTCTCCCGGTCATGTCGGCCACGTATCAGCATGGCTGACATATTCTACACTGCCTCTTCGCGCTGAATTTGTTTTTGTGCCAGTAATGTCTACATATGTTAGCACCAATACGACAAACTAAAAAACCATCCCAAACTCACCGATCCTCGCAGGGGGCACCTGCAATAGTAAGTGTTTGGTGAGTGGCGTTTCCACGGACCCCGGGCCATTTGGGTCCGCCCACCCACTTCTGGCTGTGCGTGGCTTTACCATGTCCGGGGAAAAGGGCATCCTGATGGTTGAACCGAGCCGAGGCAGGTTTGGACCCTTCGGTGGCCTCCCAGATGAGGCAACACACCATTTTAGCCCCCGCTTCTCGTAAACGGGGTCCTGGCTTTGCCCGACCAACACAATTCAGTCAGTGGCTTCCTCTACCCTCTTTTTCCTTCTTTCACTTTTCCTTCCACCTCTTTCTCCATTCTTTTCTTCTACACTCTTTTCCTTCCCTTTTCACTTTCTTAGGCGGCAAGGGCTAACCTTGGGTGGCGACAGACACCTTGTCCAGAACCACACTGGGTTATAAAGACTGGGCAGCACTAATAGAGTAACGTCTTCAGCCAAGCTTTCTTGTTATGAAGTGTTACCTATTCCCTTGTTGGGCTCAGTTTCCAAACGCCTCCCCATTCATAGGGGTTCCAAACTTAAACCTCCTGATCGGCCCCCAAAAAGGGGTCGCACCAATGCATATTTCCCACCTTTGGACAAGAGTCACACTGATTATGTTACTAAGTTTTTCATTGTGCATTCCGAAGTTGAGACAAAACCGATACAGGAACTCTCCCTTTTCCTTGTGGCTAAGGTCTTAAAAGGCTCTTTAGGGGAAATGTTCAATGCAAAAAATACTTTCTTAGGAGGCCTTTTGGTGCAAGTATTTAAAGGGACCATGAAATGACCTTTTTACTTTTGCCAGATAACTTTTACATTAAACCTTCAATGTTCACTGAATTCCGAACAGTCATCTGTTTTTGCTTCGGTTTATTAACTTCTACACAACAAATTAATGAAATATTCACTTTTTCTTTCTCTCTAACTGACCGCAAAACAAGCTGCGGCGTAATTTTGACGGTTGTGATGTACTCTGGCACAGGAACCGGAAGTTGTCTTGGCAGTAGGAGAATGGGAGTGTTAGCGGCAGCGAGTTGGGGGTGTGCCGGTAGGTTTTACTGCTTTGATGGCGCTGATGTCACCGACGTATTTTCTGAATCGGCGCCTCTCATTGCCGTGGTAGCCATTGATACATCGCAGCTGAGCAAAATTCAATTAGATATGTGGCGGGTGTGGGTGGCATGGGCTTGTTGCAATGCTGGTTGAAACGGGGAAGTCTGTGTTTGCTTGAATGCTCCGTGCAATGCCCCTCGGACCACAGTGCACTACCCTCATCCACAAGCACACACACTTGGGGTCCTGCAGAGCCGCTCCGAGCTCTTCCCGCGTTCCGCCTTCCGCCGCACCCACTGTCGCTCCCAACTTTTGCGTCGCGTCCACCCACCGGTCCAGTCTCGGCATACACTGACTTGACTCAGCTCGAAACCAAGCCGAGGTCCTCACTTTCCCATCTCTTTCCTTGTCAAAACAACAAGAAACCGCCCGAGTTGGGGACAAAACATTCCGCCACAGCCTCCTCAAGAGGGGACCTCTCCTGTGGTTCCTAATTAGTGGGGGCTGCGAAACAGCCCAAGCCGATGGCCCCAGCTCTCCCGCTGAACCCGTGGGCAAGGGGCTACCGACAACTGGATGCGCTCCCTCACGAAAACGCCAAAATAGAGAAAAACAGTTGAATTCTGTGACATCATGGTTCATCGAGTGGCAAGCGGTGAAACTGCAACTGTTTCTTTTTAACCACCGGACTGCAGAAACTGTAATTCGGGCACCTCGGTACACTGCAGCCTTTCGGCATAGCGACCGAGCGATCAATCACAAACAGTATAAACACTACTCGAACAGCCAGAAAACGAAAGTTTGCTCTGCGTAGAAAGCGCAACCAGGAGCAGACCCGTTCAGCAGACGACGCTCGGGGATTGGCTGCGCAGGCACAGTAGGGTCTTTCTCTTGCTTCGTTTACCACACTATAGATGGCGCGTGGCTCTGAGCATTATCAAATTCAGCACTTTTCGTCACATCCCTAATTATGCTACAAAATGTGGATCCGAATATTATTTACAGTGATATGATTGCTGCGCCGATTGCGCCAAATTGCGCGAAGGGGCTAACCCTGCTACATCCTGCTAATTTTGCCAAAATATGGGTAATCTGTGCCAAGCCTGCGCCAAAAAACCAATTTCGGTCGCCTTTCAAAACCGAAACTAAACTGAGTACCGTAATGGATCTTGCGTAAGCTACCTGGCGCAAGCGGCCGCCCGACACAAGGTACCTTGCATCAATTGTTTATCCGGTCTTGCGTAATTTTCCTGCCGTCTCGCGTTTCGCGCTGTTGTTATCTCAAAAGTCTCGTCTCGCGTCTTTTTTTTTTTTATTTTCAACGATAGACGTGGGTGTGCGCGGACGCTCCGACGCTATCGTGCAGGGTACCAGCACCCATGCCGTCATGCTGCGAAATGAAACCACGTTTTGGCGCGTCGGCCCGACGTGCAAAAACGAGGTTTCGTTTCACAGCTGTCGTAGCCGTTGTTCGGGTGTAACAAGAACGGTTTATTACGGGTTAAAGTCAATACGTGCGGTCGGCGACATACAGCCGTGCCTTTGCATGGTTGCGCCGTTCTGCTGTCGTTCGCTGGCCCCCCCCGGGGCGAGAGTACTCCGTGCGTAGGCGCGTCGCGGCGCTGCAGTCGGCGGTCGCTCGAATGCCACTCACGACACCCCCCTTTCTTAGGAGTAGGGAGCTGAGCTACAAGTCCAACCTGTCCGGTGGTCTGCTTGGTCGTCCGCTCCTAGTGACCGCCGTTGGCTGCATGTGACTCCCGGTGCGTCGTGTTAGTCCTGTCGATGTGCTTACAATGTAGGACCTTGGTTGGGCTGCTGGCCGTGTCACTGTACCGCAGGATGCTGGACCACTCAGTATGCGCACCACTGTCTTTGGCGGCAGGCATTCACGACTTCTCACTCTGTGACGCACGTTGTAGGTCTGCTTCACTCGCGCCCTGTACGCTTCATTCCTGCGCCTGAAGTCGCCGTCGTCCCACTTAGGTGCGAGCATCTTGGTTGTGGTTGGCACAGGCGTATTCAGGCGGCGACCCATTAGCAGTTCGCTGGGTGAAAAACCTTCGACTCCTGGCGTAGCTCTGTGCGATAGAAGAGCCAGGTTTATGTCCTTTGACTTCTTCAGGAGTTGTTTTGCTGTTTGGACCGCACGCTCTGCCACGCCGTTGCTCTGGGCGTAGTATGGACTTGAGGTTACGTGGTCTGCCCCCCAACGTTCCACCAGGTTCCTGAATTCAGCTGAGGCAAACTGTGGGCCATTGTCTGTCCGCACAGTTCTTGGCGCTCCAAATCGTGCGAAGATTGGTTCCAAGACTCGAGCGATGTCTTTTGTTGTAGTGCCCTTTAGTTGCTCCACCTCCAGGAACCTGGAGTAGTAGTCCACAACCACAATGTAGTCTCTCCCTTCAAGTTTAAAGAGGTCAATGCCGATAGTGTCCCATGGGTTTTCAGGCAACAGAGTCAGCAGCAGTGGCTCAGTTGGTGGCTTTCGATGTTGTAGGCAGACAGAGCATCTTTCAACAAAGTCTTGTACCTGAGTTCCGATGCTAGGCCACCACACCGACTGTCTTGCTCTTGCGCGACATCTGCTCGTGCCCATGTGGCCGGCATGAGGTCTTTCCAGCACCTCAAGCCTCAGGTTTGGTGGGATGACGAGTCTGTCACCCTTAAACAGCAGACCGTCGACAATAAAAAGTTCACTCGCCACCTCTGCATAGCGCTTTAGTTCCGGTGCAAGTCCATGTACGGTCGGCCATGACGAGGTACACAAAGTAGCCACTCTGGCGAGTGTAGGGTCTGCTTGGATGCCTGCCTTGATTCTGTCCAACATTTGGTTTGACGCCGGCAGCTGTTCCAGTGTCAACTCCTCGTACTCTTGCACAGCGCTCTCAAGGTCTCTTTCTTCGTCCTTGGCTGGCTCTGGTTGCGGCTTTCGGGACAGTAAATCAGCAGTGTACAA